TCAACTTGCTCTTGAGAGAAAATATCAGTGGCACTAATACTTTTTGAGCCAGCCTTTCAACATAATGAACTTTGCAATATATCCTTACAATAATAATTAAAGATGTTGTCATTGCCAACAATGTTTTTTAATTCAATAGCAGCTTTCGATGGCTAAGCCATCGAAAGCTGCTATTGAATTAAAAGACATTGTTGGCAATAACAACATCTTTAATTATTTTAAAAATGCCAAAGATATCTTACCACAACACCTATATCCTTACAAACTGTTTCCTTGGTAGCCGATAAATATATAGCAAAGCAAGTCATACTACTGAATAGAAAAGATAAAAATAATAATATAGGTTCAGTTTATATTCGCCATAAAACTGCTTCTGTCGGCATTATTGCATGTACCAGATAATTTGTTTATATACTAATGACACTTACGCGATTTAAAATATTGAAAAGGGATATTTAATGGCTGTTTGAATAAAAAGGAAAGGTTAAATATTATAACAACTGACATAGTTGCCGTAAGTGATATATTGCAAATGCAATGATCACACGAAACTATCAATAAACGTTACAGCTTGTTTTTTGGTTGTTGTTTTTTTTTTCAAGAAATTGTAACGACAATCATTGTGCTCCGAGGCACCGTTTATCGCCTGGAGGCGCTACCGACACCTCTGCCCTCGGCATTAAGCGCATTAAACGTACAACGCCACCGAGACATTGCAAACCTCTATTTTCAGTATACTTTTGTTCAGAGAGCGAATGAAATGAGCGCAAAAAGGGGGTGTTTATGTGATGCAAAGTTCTAATAAACAATTAAATATCTAGAGAATGGAAGTTGTTAGCACCGATCGGATGAGGACTTTTGTATTGCGCTTAAAGGGGATTTACAAGAGACAATAACATTTGCAAACTTATGAGCAATTTTCAACTTTTGCAGATCTGAAGAGTGGAGAGTCTCCCGATGTCCCAGAGCCGAAAACAGCGAATTAACAATTTTGCAACATTTTACAATTTTATAAAAAAAATCGATGCGGTAAAACGGCCGGAAAGTCTCTGCCAATTGTGCCAGAGATAAACATTTTAATACAGCAGTTTGACAGAGTTCAAAAATTTATTTCTACAAGTTAGTATAATTGTTGCTACAATGCTAAATTTTTACAGGCCTATTGACATCAATTCTGGACAGTAAACCGCGCTCAGAAATATTTTTTCATGGCGTACGGATAGGCAAAACTTCTCCTTCATCAGGATAAGATGATATTTCTCCTCGTATGTAAACAATCGAGTCCCCTTACCCCGGGAACAGCGTCTTTCCCGTTCCACTAGGCACAAAGGTTCTGGCTGTTTTCTGCGCCAACCACGTAGGCACTAAGGTTGTGGCTGTAGTGATTGTCAAACGTGCCCCTCCCCGGAATCGAAAGGGGTTCGAGTTTGTCTGGACGGTTGAGAGGATAGAATTTCACCCGCCAATTCTTGTGGGGGTAACTTTACAATGAATATTTCAAAAACGTTTTAAACGGAATACACTTTTTTTTTAATTTGTTGCGTCAAACTCCTTGGGGGCGATGAGCGCTTTGCGCGTGGAGTAATAAATCCTCCATTAAGATCGTCATGTCTAGTCTCGTCGTCAGGAGGTCCGCCAGGTAGCATCTCCGCGTACGCGCCTCCTACTACGCGCCCCTGCGTCACTACTCAGCGGCCAGATTTAGAAAGGAATTAGGATTGAGGGAGGGTTTGGGACACTTCAAAGGGGTTGGACTAGCCCTTGTGAAGCAACCAAACTGTTTTTGTTGGAATAAATTTAACATGTGATTGTCCGGGAATCGACGGGAATCGAACCTAAATAATTCTAATGAAAGTTTCTGATTTGAAAAATGCTAACTTCATTAGAAAGTTAAATAAGTAACGTAAGGTAGTAAGTAGGTTAAGTTCTATAAAGCAAAGAACATCCATTTGATTTAAATCGCTTTGTAGAGGTGTCTAGATAAACTCAATTTTATTTGAAAGGGATTGAACATTATTGTAGCAGTATCTTTATCTTTCGTTGTAGCAGTATATATTTATCTTTCGCAAGTACCTACACGGATGTTTCCCTTCTTCATCTGACTGTAGTTGCTATATATTTACTCCATTTTTACCTCAAGTACGATGTCGAAGGTTGTAACGTGTCTCAGCAGTGACAGGTTGTGAGGAAATCGTGGTTGATGAATCGGTAGTGGGATTTGGAAAAACGGGAGTAAGTTTAGATGACGGGGTAAGAGGATTCGAAATGGGCGTGAGGGTGGAGAATCTAAGGAAGGTGAAGGGGATGGGATTTTGGCAGGAGACTGAAGGAGGTGAGTTCATGATCTGTTGTGCCAGCTTGTTACCGGGTGTATGTTTTCTACTAAGATCCATGTGGAGATTGGTTCATGTGGAGATTCATGTGGAGAACAGTTGGATATTTGTTTCTCTCAGATGCATTTTTAATTGTTGCTTTGCATTTTCAATCTCGCTGCATCTCAGATGCATCTTCAATAGCGTTGGTCTGTTGCACCAGAAGGGCAGAGTCAAGGGTACTATGTTTGTGTTTTGGGTTTCGTATTGTAATTTGTTCATATGTTGCTCAGGTGTGAAGCGACCGCCTAAATTAATGTAAATCTACCCTTCTATGGTAATGACTGTGTCCTGATTCGCCAATGTCTTCGTGTGGCTGTCCAAATCTGCAGTCACGTCCGCAAACCACCCGTTAGGTTTAAATATAGATGAGACTGAGTAATTGGAAGGTAACTTCCTATTGAGAATGGAGGAAATATGGCGGCCATTCAGCTAAAACAACAGGTATCTGTTTTTTAGGGTAAGTAGGATGTCTTTGTTTTCAATAGGGCTTTCTGTGTTTTGAGTTTTAGCCTGTTAGCCTGTGTGTGTTGGTTTGTGCATGCATTTATCGATGTTACAGAAGAGTTGTGATAATCAGGAAGGCAAGGAATGTCTGTTTCATAACCTAAAACAACTAAATTTGTTTTTATTTGTGACTGGATGTATCTGTGTCTTGTGTGCAGCCACAGGTGCAGAAGATTCGCAGTGTTGTCGGCTTGTACCCAACCGTTTGTGTAGAGACCGGACTCTTCCAACCTTCGGATATGTTGATGTAAATTATTTTTTATATGTGTGAAGGTTCTTAGAATGCCGTATTTGCGGGTGTAGAGGGAAAAAAACAGTAAAACAAGCAGAAGCCACATTAGGAATGCGTTTTAACGTAAGTGATAAAATTGTAAATAAATGTAAGATAATTCAGAGAGGAGTAACGAGCACCTAGCTTAAAATTTTGAAAGGGTAAGATGGATGTTTATGCAATGAATTAGTAATTATGATTTGATACGAGAATGAGAAAGTACTCTATCTACAAAATCAATGGAAAGCAAGTACTCCCGAAATTTGACAATCGGGTTTCGTAGATTGCCGTCCAGTTTTTTTTAAGTTGCAACTATTTAATACAACCAGAAGACTATACTTCACCGCAAATAAATTAAAGATATTAGCTGAAAATTATCTTGAAAATATTGAACAAGATTTCAAGCACCCATTCTAAACTATTCGAGATGCTGTCCTTTTACATACCTACGTAAGGAATAAATTTTCAACTTAAAAAGTAATTTTAAGTAAATGAGACAATATGGTAGAAATAGGAATATGTGCATTTCTTTGTTTGTTTGTTTTTGTCGTAAACATTTTATATAGATATTGTTCATTCCAGGTCAAAATGTAAGCATAATTCTTCAGAACAGAATTCATATATTTGTATTAGAGTTATGAAGGACAGCAAGAATTTTGCGTGTTATTATCGAATAAAGTAACATTCGTTGCAATCTGTATTCGATTAACTTTGATTATACAGTGGAGGTTTTTGAGACTGTTGTAATTTCCAAGATAATGGGAACTATTGATGGAATGGATATTTTTAAATGATAAGCTAGATGTGTGCTTAAATATAATTTTGATTTCACAACCAGAAAAGGAGAATAATCGTGTTAGAAGAGAGAAAGGAAAATGGTTCACAACGCTAAAGGTAGTATACGGCAGGTTGCAGCGGCAGGGTGGGTGGCGGGGGGAGCGGCGGCGTTGGGCAATGGGGATGGGCAGCTAGCAGCGGTGTTAGCGGTTTGCGTCGCGTCGACGGCGCCGCGCCGGTGGTCGGCGACGTCGGCGTCGGCCGCGCGGCGGGGCGGCGGCGGCGGCGGCGGTTGACGCGGAGGCGGTGGGGCTGCGCGGCGCCCCGGGAGGGCAGACGGTCGGGGTCGTGGGCGACCGTCCACCGACGCCACCCGAACGTCGGACTCGGGCAGCCTGGCCCGGCTCCTCGCGCTGGCTCGCCACCGTGCAGCCCCGCCCCGCCCGGCCGGCCCTGCGCAATGCCTCCCCGCGTTGCACCGCCCCGCCCGCCCTACCACCCGACCGCGCGTCACCAACGCGCCTCGCCTGCGCCCCGCGCCCGCGCCCCGCGACCGCACCGCCCTGCTCGCAACCCCAGCGCGGAGTGCCGAGCGCCGAGCGAAACTGCCGAGCGAGCGCCGACCCGCGCCGAATGCCAGTGAGTAGGAAGCAGCAGCGGCTGTGCGCGGCCTCCCCTGCCCGCCGCCTGCCACGCCCCCTCGCCCCTCCGCCCCTCCGCCGCGCCACCCGCCGCCGCCGCGTTGCCATGAGACACAGCGCGCACGCTCCGGGCGCTCAGTTCTTTGGCGCCTTGCGAGCGGTTTCCAGGTCAGCTCGCGCTTCGGCTGCTCGGCACCCGCCGCCCCGTCTGCTGCGCCCAGCGCCAGGCGATAGCAGCTAGTTTGGGGGGCGAGCATTCAGCGCGCAGCACGGCGTCCGCCCCACGCCGTTCGCCGTGGCTGTCGCCCGTCGTCCCGTCGTCGTTTGTCCGTCGTCCGTTGGCAGTCGGCGTGGGCCAGCGCAGCGCGCGCGCCCCTCCGCCCCGCCTGCCCCCGCCCCCTCGCCAGCGTGCGCCAGCCGCCGCCGGCCCGGCGCAGAACTGTCAGTGCCCGTCGACGCACCCCCGGCTTCGCTCGCCCGCTTGGCCCCGCGGACTCGCACGCGCGCCAGTGCCAAGCCAGTGTGTGTGTGTGTGTGTGCAAACAGTTACCAGTGCTGTCTCGCGAAGGGAACATCGTGGATGAACATCAAGAACATCGCGGAAGGCGGCCAGCTATGAGCGAATGCGAAAGCATTGTTTTCGTGGCGTGCGGGTAAACGTACTCGTTTATGCACTTGTCGAGCGTTGCAAGGGATTCCCACTCGTAGGAAATCGTTCAGCTCAGCGTCGCACTATTCGTACGTGTCTTTATAGTAAAGCTCTCGAAGAAATCTAGACTTGGAACTTTGTTGGCGCTATTCGCTTCCATCCAGGACCACATGTTGCATCCCGAATTCTAAGAAAACTGATGAGGTCTATGGAACCTGCCCCTTAATTTCACAAACAAACTTCTCAAAATGAACCGTACGAGTGACGCATTATGATTGTTCTTACACGTTTTGTTTAGTTGAACTTGTGAAACGTGTGAACGTTATGTCGTGTTTGTAGTACCAACTAGTAGTTTGTGGACGATGTTTTTTTGTATAATTTTCTTGTCTTAAACGTAACTGTGATCTTGTCCCAATTTTGCAAGTCCTGTGTGCGTCAGTTCTTCCATGTCGGTGTGGCGTTCTTTCTGCCTCACATTGCGTACACGTTGTTCCACAAGATTCCTTGAGTTCGTCACTTACCTTGTGCTGTGCCGTTTTACCTCTGTGTGTATTCTTGTCTATTTATATTAGCAATACTTAATATTATTTACTGTAAAATTTGCTTACTTCATTATACCGTTTTGCTGGTATCAGGAGAGTTGCATCTATCTTGTTCTGGGTCTGTTAAATTACTTTCTGAATTAAGTCAAGGGAAATGTTTTTAAGGTTAAGAATTCCTAGTCAATAGATATGAAATATAATTAGTCATCTAAATAGGAACAACTAATAACTCAAGTTCTTTTACCATTAGATAGGGGAACAGGAGCAACTGCACATTCTTATCCTAATTTATTGTTGCCAAGCTACATTCAAAAATAATTTTCTTTAGACAACGGTATTTTTGCAAATTTTTGCATTTCAAGCCAGGGATAATTCAATTCAAATAATTTTTATCTTTCTTTTTACAAAATTTGCTGAGTTGCTCTGTATTACTTTGTAGTGAGATGTTGTAAACGGCAGCCGAGGAAGTATTGCAAGGCGTACAGGCAGAAAACGAGTTCGCATTACGACGGTACATGAAGACTCGCACATGAAAGTAGATTAAAAGCAAGTGCACATAGTCAGTGGCAGCTTCAGACTAAAAACCTATATTATTACCAAATGTTTGGAATTTTAAACACTGCTTCCTCATGAGTCACCACTAATCAAGAAAGAATATACTGTGGTTGCATTCATCATTGTTGGAATCTGAAGAAGTGGAGCGATTGAAGTTTAAAATTTGCAAGGTAATAAAACCTCGAAATACACGTGTATAAATGTGACAAAATTTGCATGAGGTAATTTGTCAGCGTTTTGCCGTCAATCGTATTTGCATGAATTGTGAAAATATTTAGGGCAAAAGTTGAAAACCAAGTTCATTCGCAATTTTATTGAGCAATACGCAGTCAATTTAAGAATAAATTTTAATTTTTACTTACAAACCGCTGATAATTCCCTTTTTGACCAATGTGGATTTACAATGGAATTCTCATGTGTTCGCTTGGCCCTCGTGTTGGTCTGTTAGTGTTAAGCTTCTCCTGTCAAATCCATGGTGTCACATGTACCTCATCCCTCCCTTCTTCCTTATTGAGGCAGTGAGTCACAGAAGTCCCATCTTACGAAGGTACGTCTACTGATGTACCCACGGCAGGTCGTATTTAACAGGAATCTATTTGTAACAAGCCCAATATTATAAAACACTTATGTAATTTAAGGAAGAACGTCATCAATTGTATACTATTAAATGAATTTCAACTTGAACTTTGTCAAAAATTATGAAACCGTCGCAGGAACGGGCAATTCCTTTTAGGTATTGTTTACATTTGCTTAAATAGCCATCCCGTTTATTTTAAACCGGTAAAATAGATGAAAACATTGTTCTAATATAGATTTTTAACTTTGTGTTCAACACGACATGTACATTCGCAACAAATGTAAAACACTGGAACATTTTAATGAACTTCCTCTACACTGAAATGATTCCGAAGTAATTAAAGGATCTTTTTAGTGAGGCGTCTTGCGAATGGCGTATTATCAGTCTCTTAGCACACATTTGCCAGATGCCTTCTCTTCGTTGTTTTCCTGACCCTGGAAGATACCGACTTTTTCAAACAATCCGTATCAACTTTGGATACTGATGTGTTACACTCTTTTTATTTTTCTCGGCTTTTTTGCATTACGTAATGATTTGGTGTATTCTTTAGACGGTTTTTTCGAGATAAGTTCACACAAGAGAGAGGAATGTGAAGTATGCAATTTAGTGTGCGGTCCATTGTCAAAATGCTTATAGGCTTTTACAAATGCTCTTTTGTGATCGTGAAGTCACACTTTTTCAAATCCGTCTCACTGCCACGTATGAAGCGCTAAGAAGCCTGCTATTCCCTGCCTGCAGTGGGCATGCTTAAGCGGTGCATGATTGTTTGGTTGGTGCACGCGTGCGTGAGCTCCGCTGTGATGTGTACTTGATGGGGAAAGGAACATTGATCATCTCCTCTTTGTACTGTTTGTGTCAACGTTTTTCTATTAAAGCATATACGGGAGTTGTTTATATGTTAATAGACAAATGAAAATTTACTTGCATTTCCAAGTGCTATAATGTTTTCCTTTGTTAAATTCTATATCTAAGCACTTTGTTTTTTTTTTAATTTTGCAATTCATTATCGCACAGTTGCAAAATAGGTGAAAAAAATACTTTCCACGGAGTTAAGTGTAAGTTGCACAAAATAAAGTTTACAGTATTACAAAACTTTGCCAACTAGATATTAATAAGAAAGCGTATTCTAGTTAAGAGAACTTTTAATTTTCGATGTCAATTTCGATTACTACGTGTCTGGACGTCATCTTCATCCGAAATGAAGTAAAATTACGGAATGTGGAAAAGCTTTGTTGACACAGAGGTATTTTATTAACTTTTATTGAGCAATACCCTGACACATTTATTTTTATATTCTGTTCGGTCCATCAGCAATTCATCGAAAGTTTTCATCCACAAAATAAATATTCATACATGACATTGAATTCTTCTTCGCCGGATGTGTTGGATTTATTACAGAGGTAGTTTGAGGGAAGTAAGACGTTGACTGAATCTTGAAAACTTGTCAGTAATGATCAAAATTGTTTCTGGCTGGAGAAATGGATTGATTCGTAAAACAGTATCGGAATGACTCAGCAATGTAGAGTACAGGGAATGATTTCTGAATTGTGACGCTATTCGTGTTGAACGCAGTACGTTGTTATTTGCCGTGCGTGTTCGTAACTCAGACTTGATACTTCATTTAAATTTCATAAAGAGGGAGAACTTCAAAGACGAAAAATTGACATTTATGATGCATCAATCGATATTTCTTTCGTATCTACGAACATGAATTCTTAAATTCAAGGAGTACATGGTAGTTATGCTGTGCCAAACAATGAAACGCAAATATTTCTCGTGAAGTCGTTGAGGCGCCTTGACCAACGTTCGCTTTACCTGTGCTTTATTTGATACTTCTTGGATAATTTATTGGCATATCACATTGTTGTAGAGCTTTTCTTAACATAAGAAATTCGATGATGAATGAATATACAATAGCTGAAGGTATTTGGTGCAGTGCTGGGCGAGGGGCCGGGCGGGCCATGCAGAGCCAGAGCTCGCGTGAGGAGCCGTCTTTCGTCATGCTGCCGCTAGGAAATAATTAGTTAACGGGGCGCGGGGGAGGGGGAGGGGCGCCGAGGCGCTAGGGCCCGGCGGGCTCGCGGCGGCCGGGTCGTGGTCCCCGCCCACCGGGCCACATACAATAAGCAGATAATCACCACTTTTCTGCGATATGCACTTAATTGATATTTGTATTGATTTAAAATTAGCTCACTGATAGGAATACCTAGATTGATAACTCAGTCCCAAGAGAAGCGAGTTCTTCCGTAGGTGTAAATGTAGGATTTCAGGCACCGCATACTAAACTAAACCTTTTGTCTCAAATATAATGAATGCTTCTCCATTATTGTTAGTAAATGGAAAAAGATTGTTCAGCGAAAAACTTATAAGGTTCTCTGCAATAAGAATAAAATCATATATACGAGTATTTCTAAATTTCAATTGTCGTATTCTTAAACAGCAGTGAGTGAAACCTGTTGAAAGCGCCCTGAAGAAATTGTGCATAAGGCTTAATGAAAAATTAACAACTTCACACAAATTAACAACATAACACGTTAAAACGAAATAAACATTATACTTTTAGACAAACAATTTTCTTAAAAAATCACAAGATTTATGTGTAGGGACAGATGAGTTAGATGCGAGTAAAAATGTATAGGCTGTTAGTTACACGTGTTCCGTTGTCCTACAACACGGCTCGTTCAACTACATCAAGAAACCCGAGCTAACTAGACTTTTTTGATTGTCGCTGTGATACTCGATTGAGAAAGCCTAAATCTTTATGTTCAACGAGACTATCAAGTGAAAAGCGAAAAAATGCAAAGAAATGAAAAATCAGTTCCGCTTCTATCCGCGCTTGTTCCGTTGTATCCCGCCACATTCTTCAAAAGTAAAATTGATTGATTAATGTGCATGAAACTGAAATATACCGAACCATTTATATTTGTGGCCAGATGATAGGAAGGTGTACAATATTAGTTTTATTGAAATAAAAATATAAAATATCAAATATAGATTTTTTGAGTCTATCATTAGCAATCTTGGTAGAATGGTGTGCCAGGTATAATGTGTCGTGCGTAGTATTAACATTCAAAAATCTTAAACACTATTAGCCTGCAACAGCAAAAATGCAGTATGATTATAAGCAAAATAATACAATCAAATATATGCATTTTCCTGTCAAAATCAAAACTTTAACATTTTTTTTCGACTTTCCCCAGCTCCTGATAATCTAACGAAACCATCGACACCTCTCGCGTGGACGAAACTGTGTAGTTTTCTTTCAATTTATGCACGCATTGGAAATTAATAATGGAGACTAGTAGCATATAGGCTACAGCTGCCCATCTACTAAGCAACACAATAAAACACCAAAAAAATCATTGTTTTCTTTCTTTGCGATGGTCCTGTAGTCAATTTTGAGTATTGGAGTTATATTATGGGAATTCTGATGTGGTATTGTTGACGTAATTACATGATGAAATAATGGAAGTCATCTCCGTCAAGTTAATATATTTATTTAGAGACACGACTCAGCCGTCAACATCAATCTCGTTGTGTGTGGTAAAAGCCGGGAGGTTGACTTCTTGAAGTTATATCCTAGTACTTGCGGTTTATTCGGTAACTCAGCACACAAAGTTGTCACTGTTCGGACTCCCGAAACCTAGAAGCATCACCAACGATCAATATCATTTGACAGTGACCTTGTTTAGCAGATGCACAGGCACGGATTTTCCTAGTATTACCTTTCAAGCCTCATGCATTCTTTGAAGTTAAAAAGAAAACTTTTGTATCTGCGTCTGGTAAGTTGTTGACCAGCAGAATCTGCATCAGCTGGTGTGTGGCCCGGTGAAATTGTTCCATTCGTAGAGAATGCTTATTATTTCTAAAACGCGATGTCTGTACTCAACAATTATGGAGAATATTAAAATTAACACGAGTTTGCGTCCTGAATTCTGAGTAGTCGGAAACCTACAGCTCGCCTTTTTGAACCTCTTGTAGAAGAGACAAAAATCATTTCTAAAGATATAATAACTTTTACATCAAGATTACGTCGCAAGACAATGTATAGTTATTACAATAACACGACAATCACCAGGTTTCCCTTCGAATTCTGATTCACAGAAAAACGGGACCAATAACAAGTGAACGCAATATATTTCTTTTTCCAATGTTTTCCGCCATAAAATAACAAGTAGTGGTATAGCATTCGCTCTATTTTCGCACTCTTTTTAGGTTAATAACGCGCCAGATGATGCGTTTCTTGCTTGCGTAAGCGGTGGATATATATAAGACGAAATGTCAAAAAAGCACCAAAACTGTCATGTTCGAGCGAACGGTGCGACCTCTAGGATGAAGATTAAAATCATTATGTAGAGCAGAACATCGTTTCTCATAGAAGACTTCAATTGTAGCATCCAGCGGTCTAAAAAAAATTTCGCCCCTCTCGGGGTGCTTAAATTGACGTCTTCCATGAGAAAACATGTTCTGTTGAACATAATGACTTTTATCTTCATCCTAGGGGTCGCACCGGTCGCTCAAACATGGCATTTTGTTGTACATGTTTGACCTTTGTTCTTCTAGAATGATAGGTGAAATGTCTGGATTTCCCCC